ACCTGAAAATGCGCTTCACAGCCAAAAAATGTGAAGTACGAGGGGCATGCATAAATTGGGAAACCAGGTGAACAGCAAATGTAATATCAGGTCGAGTCATAGTTAAATACTGCAAGGCACCTACCATACTTCTATACTCAGTAGGATCCGCAAGAAGATCACCATCAGTGAGAGATAACTTTGTTCGTGTAGGAAGTGGAGTACGAACAGGTTTAAGAGTATGAAGATGAAACCTGGTTAATAAATCAGAGACATATTTTTGTTGTGATAAAAACAGACCAGAGGGTAAACGAACAGCTTGGACACCTAGGAAAAAATGTAAATCCCCCAAATCCTTCATAGCAAAACAACGACCAAGACAAGAAATAAATGTGGAAATAAAGGTAGGGGAATTACCGGTAATAATAATGTCATCCACATACAGAAGGAGATAAATAATGTTCGACCCATGTCGGTAAATAAATAAGGAATTATCTGATTTGCTACAAACAAAACCATGAGTCAACAAAAAACTGCTAAACCTGTAAAACCAGGCTCGCGGAGCCTGTTTAAGACCATAAATAGCTTTCTTTAGACGACACACATGGGTAGGAAACTGTGGATGAACAAAACCAGGGGTTGACGCATGTAGACCTCTTCAGTCAAATTACCATGAAGAAAAGCATTTTTAACATCTAACTGACGAATAGTCCATTTGAAAGACACAGCAAGAGATAACACAATACGAACAGTGGTGGGTTTAACAACAGGACTAAAGGTCTCAGAAAAATCCACACCAGCCTGTTGAGTAAATCCTTGAGCTACCAGACGTGCTTTATGACGCTCAACAGACCCATCTGAATTGAATTTGGTCTTATAAATCCATTTAGACCCGACCACATTTTTACGAGGATTAAATGGAACTAATTCCCAAGTATGATTATCAATTAGTGCATTAAATTCCTCAGCCATAGCAGCCCTCCATTTAGCATCTTTATTAGCTATAGAAAAACAAGATGGATCACATGCCGAAATATCTGTTTTGAGATTAAAAATAGATTTTGGTTTAAAAATACCCGATTTAGCACGTGTTTGCATAGGATGACAATTTATCGGGAAAAGTGCATGTGGTGAAGGGGGTTCGGTTGGGCTGAAGCTGCTGGTAGGAGAAGAAGTAGTGGCGGATATAGTACTGGAGCTTTCGGATGGGGCTGTTGTTGTAGCAGGAGGAGATGGAGTGGTTTCGGCTGGGGAAGATGGGTTAGAAGAAGCAGAGGGCTGATGATTGTGAAGTGGTGGTGGTGAGGCCGAGCGTGTTCGGCTGGGTATGAGGCGGCCAGGAGAGGCAGAGCTGCGACGGAAGTATGGTGAGGTGGGGGAGATGGCAGCAGCAGGTAGAAAAGTGCCGGTAGGTGAATGAAGACTGGCAGAAGTAACTGAGGACACTAGAGGCAGTTCGCTATTTTTGGCAGAGGAAACCAAGTCTGAATATGGAAAATAATTTTCATAAAATCGGACATTCCTATTGATGTAAATCTTGCCATTTAGAGGATCAAAACAACGATACCCTTTATATTCCGGAGCATATCCCAAGAAAACACATAAAACAGATCGTGGAGAAAGTTTATTGGCAGAAGTGGCATTAAAATTAGGAAAACAGGCGGAACCAAATACGCGCATAAAAGAGAGGTCAGGAGAATGATGAAATAATTTTTCAAACGGGGAAGCACCATTTAGATTGGGAGTAGGGAGACGATTAATAATATAGGTAGCAGTGAAAACAGCATCTACCCAGAATTTAGCCGGCATTTTTGCTTCTAAGAGCATAGTGCGGGTTAATTCAAGTAGATGTTTATGTTTTCTCTCAGCAACACCATTTTGCTGAGGGGTATCTGGACAAGATTTTCGGAATAAAATGCCATTTTGGAGAAAAATATCACGCATACCATAGTTATCAAATTCACCCCCTCCATCACTTTGAAAAATTTTAATTTTGGAGTTTAGTAAATTTTCCACCATGGTTTTGAAATTTTTAAAATGACTCACAACCTCACTTTTATTGCGCATAGGATATAGCCAAGTAAATCGGGAAAAATCATCAATAAACAAAACATAATATTTAAAGCCACTTTCAGAGAGAACAGGAGACTGCCAAACATCAGAATGAATTAAATATAACGGAGCATTGGAGTTATGCCAAACTTCATGAAAAGGTAAACGTTGAGATTTTCCTAACCGACAAGAAATACAATCATGAGAAAAACTAGAAGTAGTAAGAATGGTCCCAGACTTCTTAAGCCTCTCTAAAATGCGACTACCACAGTGCCCCAAGCGACGATGCCAGACCGGTCCGGAAGCAACATGAGAGATGAAAGCAACTGGTGAAGGACGAGATAGGGAGATAGGGTAAACACCACCACTACTGGAAGCCTGAAGAAGAACCTTCCCGGAAATTGTGTCCTTAATACAAACAGAATTTTTATCAAAAATCACAAAACAGTTATTATCGGCACATAATCGTTGAATTGAGAGTAAATTATATTTTAAATGAGGAACATGATAAACAGATTTTAAATGGAGAGACTGAGGTGAGGTAGATAAACGCAGGTCACCAACAGTCATAACAGGTAAATTAGTGCCATTAGCAACCGTAACAGATAATGGTCCAGAATAAATGGATTTATTTTCCAAAATACCTTCATTCGATGTCATATGAGCGGAAGCACCGGAGTCAGGATACCAGACAGTCGGAGTAGATTCACCCGTAGAAACAGCCAGGGCGGGAGCTTGAGGTTGAACAAAACGAGAAGGACAAGCAATTGCGGAATGACCTGGAGAGTGACAGATTTGACAGACGACAGGAGGAGGAACTGAACCAAAATTATTCTCAAATGATGGAAATCCTGCAGAGGCATAGTTAGTACAAAAAGTAGATAGAGCAGGAGTATTAAACGGTGACACAACCGAATTACAATAAACTGTACCAGGTGTACCCAAGTTAGCCTGCTGCTGATGAGTGCCGCGACCAGGCTGCTGCTGTTGTGAAGGCTGACCGAAGTGCACCGGAGGTTGACCGAACCCAGGTACCTGCTGCGGATGATAGCGGCCTCGACCTCCATAGCCTCGGCCACCCCTGCCTCGGTTACCGCGTCTGCCACCACGACCGCCACCACGATTGGGTTGCTGTTGTCCGCCAGTCGAGGAAGCACCCCCTGCCGATGATGCCGCCTGACCACCTCCTGCCGAAGAAGAAGCTGCAAAAGCAGGAGCTCCAACCGTGGACTCCAAGGATTGCTGATAATGAAGACGCGCCTCTTGATGAACTAATTTTGTGCATAATGAATCAAAGGTGAGACCTTCAGGGAAAAGAGTAAGAGGTCCCACCAAGGACTCATATCCCGAGCCCAAACCAAAAAGAGTATGTTGTAAGAGGTCAGAATCTGAAACCGGGGAATTGATGGAGGCTAAGGAGTCAGCAATATTCCTAATTCCGCAAACATAGTCTTCCATAGACTGATTAGGCTTCTTCCGGGTATGGGTCAACATCTGTTTTAATTCCATTGATCGGGCAAGACTGGCAGCCATAAAGCGGGACTCCAGTCGTTGCCAGATGGCGGTGGAATTTTTCAATTGGTGAACTTCCATTAAAATTTCACGAGAAAGCGTAGCAAACAACCAAGCCCGAACAGTTTGATCCAATTTTAGCCAATGATAATATTCAGGATTAATTGTTTGAGCCTGATATAAATCATAAGTATACAAAGAAGGTGCCGGAAGAGTGCCATCAAGAATTCCCAAAAGACCATTAGCAACCAAAAAGGACTCGAATTGAGTTCGCCAAGGCAGGTAATCTTCAATAGCCAATAATTTGGTGGTCACAATTTGCGTAATAGATGCACCAAAAATCATACCTTGGGTTAAAGAAGCAAACGAAGCCGGTATGGGAGTCTCCACCGGACGTCGTCCGATTGATCCAGTCAACGGCGGGAGGACCAACCCTGGATTTCCGGACAAAGTCGGGCCAGCAAAACGCGCTCGGGCAGCAGCCGTGATGCTCGACTCTGCGTGAGAGTCAGCAGAAAAGAAGGGCGGCGGCTGAACTGTCGGCGGCGTAGGCGTCCAAGTGAAGATCGGTGGAACCCATGAGGAAGTTAGCGGCGAGCCTGACACGTCGAGGGGAGCGGTCATCTCTAGCGGCGCTGTGAGGGATGATGGCGGAGTGGTTGCGCTCAAGACCGGAGTGTCATCCGCCGAAGAAGATGTCAGGGCGGTTGTTGAAGAAGACACGGCGGCGGCGGCTGAACCAGTCAAGGAGGCCATCGAAAAAAAAAAAAAAATTTTAATACTGCCTAAAACCTAGGGCTCTTGATACCATGTGAGAATAATGGAAAGGCGTACCCAATAGGTAGCCCTAGGTGCCATATATATAATAAATAATGTTCTGAATACAATAGGAAACTTAATGTTTAAGGAAACCTAATTAAAGTATTAATTGCTCTATTAATTATATATGATTGCGAAAAAATCAAATTCAAAATTAGCTAAATTGCATAATGCCCGTGCATCACACGAGCTTGATAGGTAGTAATACAAAAGCTAATAGATATGGACTTGTGCCAACGAAACATGCACTTAGGATGTTTTTACTTGGACTGTATTTTGCTGGTCTGGTCTGGTCTGGTCTGGTCTGGTCTGATATGGTCTGGTCTGAACTGGTCTGGTCTGGTAAGGTCTGGTTTCTTTGTATTTTTATAACTATCCAAGTCTGATATGGTCTGGTCTGGTCTGAACTGGTCTGGACTGGTCTGGGACAAATTACAGTCCAAGTAAAAACATCCTTAAACACTTTTTCTAAAATCTCTATAAAAATCATTTTTTTTAATTAGAAGCAATCTTATCTAAAATTCCCTTTCAAAGAAAATACAGAATGAAAAAACAAATTCATCTATTTTCCTTATTTGGTTACTTGTGATCTACATTTATGTAATTAAATTTCCGAAGAAAAGTAAATCCAGACGAGATCTTTGTTTTGATGATAAGATGATGACAAGGAACACTGTATATGTTTTAAACGGCGTAGTAAACTTGTGTTTTTCCAACCCTAGGAATCCAATAAATGCAAAGCCATAGATGGCGTCTTTGTGTTTCGGAGATTGGATTTCCTGCTAAAATCAACTGGACCACTCGAGTATATCTTAATATCCTATTTTCAACTCTAACTTCAGCCTAGGAAATCCATCAAATTTAGCTCCAAATCTCGACTCTTTCGGTGAGAAGATTGGCTTTTGTTTTATGTTAATTCCTCTGAGCCGTATGCGCATATCTCAATATTGAATTATTTGCCGTTCTATTGTACTCATTGGTTATGTAAAAGGCAGGGTTTTCGATTTGACTGATCCTTATGTCAACGATTCTTACTCTAAGCGTGCATCATCTGTGATTCTTGTTTGGTTCTGAATACTATGTTTCAAATGATTTTCATGTTTTCTTGTATATGTTGATTGGATTATTATTATTCCGATTTATTTAATTTGACTGGAATTGGATGTTTGATCTCCTTATGGCTTCGTTTTGCAGTTCAGCCTATCGAGAATTATATATTTGTAGAGGTGTTTGAGTGTGCGGGTTTCCGTACTAAGGAATTTAGGAGGACTATTTGTATCTTGTACCAGTAAAGATGATGTCAAGATCGTATACAAACCTCTTAGATTTGGCTGCCGGGAATTTCCCAGACATGGGGAGGGAAAGGGAACGCAGAAGGATGCCGAGGGTGATGACAGTTCCCGGCAGCATCTGTGAGCTTGATGATGATCAGGCAAACAGTGTTGCTTCTGATAACCCATCTTCACTAGCATGTGATAGGATGATCATTGTGGCTAATTTATTACCTGTGAAAGCAAAACGAAGGCCAGATAATGAAGGGTGGAGTTTTACTTGGCATGATGATTCAATACTATTGCGGATTAAGGAAGGTTTACCTGAAGAAATGGAAGTTCAATTTGTTGGATCTTTATCAGTTGATGTGGACCCTATTGAACAAGATGACGTTTCCAACTATCTTCAGGAAAAATTTAAGTGTGTTCCTACTTTCCTTCCCCCAGATATAGTGGAGAAGTATTATGAGGGCTTCTGCAAGAAACAATTGTGGCCTCTTTTTCACTATATGTTGCCCTTTTCACCCGATCACGGAGGTCGGTTTGACCGTTCGATGTGGGAAGCCTATGTCTCTGCCAATAAGATTTACTCACAGAAAGTGATTGAAGTTCTTAATCCTGAGGACGATTTTGTTTGGATTCATGATTATCATTTGATGGTGTTGCCTACATTCTTGAGGAGGCGGTTCAACAGACTTAGAATGGGCTTTTTCCTTCATAGCCCATTTCCTTCTTCTGAGATCTACAGGACACTGCCTGTCAGAGAAGAAATCCTCAAGGCTCTCCTTTGCTCTGACCTTATTGGTTTCCACACTTTTGATTATGCGCGCCATTTCCTCTCTTGTTGCAGTCGAATGTTAGGCTTAGAGTATCAGTCTAAAAGGGGATATATAGGGGTGGAATACTATGGAAGGACCGTTGGTATAAAGATTATGCCTGTTGGTGTACACATGGGATATATTGAGTCAGTAATGAGGCTTAGTAATAAAGAGACTTTTTTGATGGACCTAACAAAGCAATTTGAAGGAAAAATTGTGTTACTTGGAGTTGATGACATGGATATTTTCAAAGGCATCAACTTAAAACTTCTCGCTCTAGAACACATGCTCAAACAACACCCAAAGTGGCAGGGAAAAGCCGTGCTGGTTCAGATTGTGAATCCTACAAGAGGTAAAGGGGTTGATTTGGACGAAATACAGGCTGAGATGCAGGAAAGCTGCAAGAGAATTAATAAGGAATTTGGAACCCATGGGTATGAACCAGTTGTTTTCATTGACCGGTCCATCTCATGCTGTGAAAAAGTGGCATATTACAGTGTTGCAGAATGTGTTGTTGTTACAGCTGTAAGGGATGGGATGAATCTGATTCCATATGAATATGTTGTCTGTAGACAAGGAATTCAAGAGGGTTCTAATCCGGGTGGGGCAAAGAAGAGCATGCTAGTGATATCTGAATTCATCGGGTGTTCCCCTTCACTAAGTGGGGCAATCCGTATAAACCCGTGGAATGTTGAAGCTACTGCTGAGGCAATGAATGAAGCTATATCGATGGCTGAACAAGAGAAACAGATGAGACATGAGAAACATTACCGTTATATTAGCTCCCATGATATAGCTTTTTGGTCAAGAAGCTTTTTGCAAGACATGGAGAGAACTTGTGTGGACCACTTTATAAAAAGATGCTATGGGATTGGTTTGGGTTTTGGTTTCAGGGTTGTGGCATTAGACCCCAACTTCCGGAAGCTCGCAATAGATGATATTGTGGCCGCTTATGTTAAGGCTAAGAGCAGAGCAATATTGCTGGACTATGATGGCACCGTAATGCCCCAAAATTCTATCATTAAGTCTCCTAGTGATGGAGTGATATCAATTTTAAACAAAATCTGCAGTGATCAAAATAATACAGTCTTTATAGTTAGTGGAAGAGGGAAAGAAAGCTTAAGTAGGTGGTTTTCTCCTTGTAGGAAATTGGGGCTTGCTGCAGAGCATGGTTATTTCTTGAGGTGTGATTTGCTCCTTCTCATCTCAGCTTCATTACAAATGTTTTAGTTATCATATATCTCTAGTTCTTTACCTATTTGTGTAAAATGTTGGTGATACATATCTATGTGTATGCCTGAAGGGAGAATGTGGAGATTTCTATTCATTTTCACTTTTTGTTTATTGCTTACATGTTTCACGGTTTCACCTATCTGGCTCTGATTTATAAATGGGAGAATTTGACTTTGCACCCCACTTTTTGGGTGATAGTGGACTTTGCACCCTATTTTAAAAAACCTTTGACTTTGCACCCTATCATATATTATTTGTGATGGAAAATTTCTAAATGGGGTGCAAAGTAAAAGGTTTTTGAAGTGAAATGGGGTGCAAAATCAAAGTTTTTTTTAAAATGGGGTGCAAAGTCCAATATCATCCAAAAAGTGGGGTCCAATACCTTTGACTTCATCCATGTATAGAAGTTGATCCTTTTTATAAAAGAGTTGAGTTTGTGATACTCAAATAGGTAGAATTGGCTATTACAAAAACATGAGGTTCTTGAAAGCATGTTTTTCACTTTAATATGACAGGAAAGTATCTTGAAAGTTGTCTAGTTTGATTTTGAAGTCTTTTATTTTGGTTAGGTTTTTAGAGAAATGATATTATTTTCTTTGAGTCTGTTTGGTAAGGTTTATTTGGCTGGATGGCTGAATCGGCTGATTTTTTCTAAAAAATGTTTGGTAACTTCCATTTCAGACTATCATCCCTATCAGTAACTAAGTCAAAAGTTACCTATTCTGCTTATCATTCTTAGAAGAAGAATATCTTTTTTTTTGCGAGTAGAAGAATATCTTGATATGGCTTCCAAATGAAGCCTTACTTTGTTTTGCTTTTGAAGTATGCTCATTTCGAAACTGGTAAACACAGGTGGTCACAAGATCATGATTGGGAAGTGCCATGTCAGAGCTCTGATTTTGGATGGATGCAGCTTGCAGAACCAGTGATGCAATCTTATACTGATGCCACAGATGGCTCTTCCATTGAGAAAAAAGATAGTGCTATAGTTTGGCAGTATCGTGATGCGGATCCTGGTTTTGGGTTTTCTCAGGCAAAGGAGATGCTTGATCATCTAGAGAGTGTTTTGGCAAATGAACCAGTTGCTGTGAAAAGTGGCCAGTTCATTGTCGAAGTCAAGCCTCAGGTATGTGTAGTTTGTACTGTTTTGGTTGTTGAGTACTCTACTATATGTTGGTTGCTTTTAGAGATTATTATTTGAGAGGATAATGTCATGTGTTGATTATTATGTTTGCATCTCACTTGTCATTCAAAATTGTGTCTGCACTCCATTTTTTAAATTATTAATATTTCCACCTTGAAGTTTTTAGTTTACATCCCATCTTTTCTTCTAAATTGTAATTTGTACTCCATTTTGATAGATCTAAAATAAATTAAAAATTCATATTTTGAAAAACTAAAACTTTAGGTTGCAAATGTTAATGATTAATGATTTAAACTTTAGTAGGAAAACTGTCTGTTCATCCGTCTTTATCACTCTTTATTGGCCTATCTTCTTAACAGAGAAAATGAAAAAGTAGAGTAAAAGTTACTGTTTGGTTGAAATGGAAGGAAGTGGCACTTGAAATAAATTGGTACTCTAAATTTAATGCAACAGAGTGAACAGACCTCAACTAGTTGGGATTAAGGTGCTGATAGTTATGGTGATTATGATTAATTCAGCCATAATTTCAACAGCTTCAGCCACATTTTTACCCTTACCCGAAGGAATGGTTTGTAATTTTGTATGTCCTTGGTACTTCCTCAAACCATTGGTTGGCACCTGTTTCTTATTGTGATTACAATTATAATTACAGTTATAATTATAATAATAATTAAAGTTATTCTTATGATTATGATCATAATTATAATTATAACTATTATAATAATTATTATTTTAAATGGCCAATGTTATATCCTATTATTTTTTGGTATGAGTTCTGCCTCCTTTGTATCGAAGATCAGTGTTTATAATTGCATAATTTCAAGTATTATTTGCATTGTCTTTTCAGGGAGTCACCAAAGGATTAGTTGCAGAAAAAATATTCACATCAATGGCAGAGAAAGGGAAGCTGGCGGATTTTGTGCTCTGCATTGGTGATGACAGGTCGGATGAGGATATGTTTGAAGTAATAGGTGATGGTCTATCAAGAAGTATCCTCTCTCACAACACAAAGGTTTTTGCCTGCACGGTTGGACAAAAGCCCAGCAAAGCGAAATACTATTTGGATGATCCGGCCGAGGTTGTACTCATGCTGGAATCTCTTGCCGAGTCAACTGATACCCCGGTGACTTCTGATGATGATGAAGCTAATAACTCCTCCTGAAAGATGTTTAGAGTTCCTTGATTTTTCCTTTCCAGCCTTGGGTCCTCCTGGATAAGTGCATAAAGTTCATGTTGGAGGTTGACATGTCCTGTGAGGCTGTAGTTTTTACATTTTAGGCTTATGCGATGTAGATGTAGTGAGTTATCCATTCATCATTCTTTCTTTTCCTTTTATTATTCATTTGGAGTAGTTTATACTTTATGCTGCTAGCTTAGGCTAGCGACTTGCTAAACTCTAGTCAAGACCCTCCAGTGTTAGTCAATGTACATTAGAATAAACCAGCTAGCAACTGTAATTCTTTCAGTAGTTTCCGGGATGTAACTTGTTGTTGAGCTTTATACTGCATTTTTGTTGAACCGCTTTTAAGAATAACATTTGTCTTCTATTTTTCAATTTGATTGTTGGGATGAAGTAATTTAATTGGCAGAATGACTATGGGAGTGTTTAGGTTTGCTTGCTTTCTACTTTTGAAAAATGATTAATAGTAAACATTATTCAGGTTTGAAAATAAAAGTGTTTTTGTAAAAGTAAAAGTAGTGATTGATGAAAAATATTTTTTTGTGTAATAGAAAAAATAAAAAAACTGTTAAAAGCATTACTTCTATTATTTTTTAGATTTTGACTTTACCTTTTAAATTTGAGTAATAATATTCATTATAACACACTTTTATATTTTCTAGATTTTATTTTAAAGTGCTTAATTTAAACAGAAATAAATATTTCAAAATGCTAATTTCACTAAGCAAAATACTGAAAACATTTTATTAATCTCTTGGAAACGCTACTTAAGCGTATCATGTTAAGAGTGATCCTAACAACTGTGATATGAGAGACATAAGAATTTATACCTACATCAATATGAGTAGGGGTGGACTCGGGCCGGGCCAACCGGCCCGGAACCGGACCGGCCCGCTACTGTGCGGGCCCGGACCGGCCCGGTCAACCGGTTGGTCAACCGGTTCGGGCCACCCGGCCCGGAGGGATACCGGTTCGGGCTCGGGCCCTGATTTTGGCGAACCGGCCCGGCCGGTTCGGGCCCGGTCCGGGCCGGATTTTAAATTTTTTTTTTTTTTTTTTGAAATTTTTTTAAATTTTGGGTTGGATTAGGTATTTTGGGCCATTTGAGGTGGTTTGGGGTAGTTTGGGGTTGAGGGGGAGGGGTAGGGGGTTAAAAATGAGAACAAAAAAAAAAAAAAATTAAGTTGGGCGGTTCGGCCCGGCCCGGCCCGGCCCGGTTTGGCCCGGAACCGGAACCGGAACCGCCCCCCGGCGGTTCGGGCCCGGGCCCTATATTTTTGGCCCGAGGCCCGGCCGGGCCCAGGCCCGAACCGGGCCCGAACCGGCCCGAGTCCACCCCTGAATATGAGGGATATTGGACCTAGACCTTCATCACTCAATTTTAGAATTATTGACCTACATCATTCAAATTTATGAATTTGGACCTTCATCATTCCTTTTAAACAATTATTGTGTGGTTCCTGTTATAGATTTCTTTCTCTACACAAACTCTAATCATTGAGTTTTTACTTTATTATTTTTAATTCCGATTAAACTTGACAAAGTTTCAAGGAAAGGAAGTACTAAATTGTGTAATGATCAAAATAGGTAGAGTTAAAGTTATTTTTATCACTGAATTAGCTGGAACTTTCAAATAGGACTATTTAAGCTATTTTTCATCTAATTAACTGAAACATCGCTTCAAACAATATACGTAGTATTTTTTTGTGAGTGGACTTCAATACTTCAAAGTTAAGGATGTTTTTACTTGAATTGTAATTTGTCTAAGACCAGACCAAACCAGATCAGACCAAACCAGACTTGAGTAGTTATAAAAATACAAAGAAATCAGACTAGACCTGACCAGACCAGTTCAAATCAGACCAGACCAGCAAATTACATTAATGTCATCGAACATTTGGCAAAGTAATGTCAGCAAATTAAGAAAAAACGTCTTAAATGTCAAATCCTTGATTAAGATGAGTTTCAAACTTATGACCTCCTCCCTGGGAGTGTTACACTAATGTCATCTAACCACAAAATATTTGGCATATATGGAAGTTTGGTTAGCAGCCTATCACCCGTTTTTTTTTTTGGCTAATTTGACTATTTTTTTTTTAGCTTTTTGACCAATTCAATAAGCTGATATAGTATTTGGTTAATGGTTTTTTGTTTGGCTTTTTGTCCCCAAACGGCCAATATATCAAACGTCGATGATCCTAGCGTTTTCGTTTGGCTTTTCTTCTTCACATCTTATATTCCTATTCTATCCTAAACTGCCCACGTAATTTTTTCAATCTCTTCCGCGATAAATTGCTTTAGCTTCTCGTTTATTGTAATGATGACCAATTTTGCTTTCATGAGTCTGTCCTCCCAAATTTGCCCACGTATGTCTAGACTTTACCATTTTACTTTTGTTTATTAAACATACATACAAGGAATTCTTTTTGCTACCACGGATATCATTTTAGTAATTAACTCAAACATTCTCTCAAATAAGAAAATAGCTCAAACATAAACTGATGGCTACTACCTTTTTTTCAAAATAATTGAAGACTTCTAATCTTAATGTTTAATAAATTAAACACTACTCTAAAAAATTAAACACTGCTCTTAAGGAATTTAGAAAATACTAGTTAAATTTATTAATTCATGAAAAAAATGTTTAAAATAATCATTACTTGTGTTAATACTTTTTATTTTATTTTTTAAATCATAAAAATGGCTTACGTAGTTGTATTAATTACATTAATAAAAAATTAATTGATGTCCCTAAATGTCATTTAGCAAGTTATATAGTAAAACTCAGTTATAAATCGCAGACGTGTCTCTCTCTTATTAGTTAACAATATTTGATTAAAACATTTAATTATTACATTTATTTGTTTAGAATATAATACGCATGACTGCATGAGCTGAGAGAAAAACAGGAGAAAAAAGCTGGAGATGAAAAACAGGAGGAAAAAACGGAAGAAAGATCAGAATACAAACGAGTCCTTGATAATCACTACTTATCGTTTTTATTATTGGTGTTCACAAAATGTATTTTTATCTAATAAAATTAAAGCATACGTAACGAAATTAAGTTACAGACTTACAGTATACTAGATAAAGTGTACTTGAACGATGATTCAGTATACAAACACATTTTATCACTTCATCAGATGATTCAGATACAAAGTCTTTAAATAATGGGCGGTAATTATTTAATTAACCGGACTCTATAACAACATTCAAACCCCAATTCTTTTAAAAAATTGACTAGCATGAATCGATCGATGATATTAGCATAAAAAAGAGAAGAAAGATATGAAAATAGAAAAAGGTAAAATAAAATAGATAATATTTTGGCCACAATGGCGGAGCGATTTGGTTTACGGAAAAAACATAAACTTATGGCTACCTTTTTTTTCAAAACAATTGAAGACTTCTAACCGTAATGTTTAATAAAGTAAACACTACTCTAACAAATAAACATTTGTATATAAGGAATTTTGCTCTTAAGGAAATTAGAAAATACTAGTTAAATTTATTAATTCATGAAAAACAATGTTTAAAATAATCATTACTTGTGTTAATACTTTTTATTTTATTTTTTAAATCATAAAAATGGCTTACGTAGTTGTATTAATTACATTCATAAAAAATTAATTGATGTCCCTAAATGTCATTTAGCAAGTTATTAGCTAATTGTAAACAGTCATCTAACCAAACAACATTTTACAAACTGCTAATCGTATCAGCTAATCAAAACAGCCAACACAATCTGCTGTTATCGATCAGCTAACACAATCAGCCAACAACCAACCACCAATTGCCAAATACCCCCATATTAATTTATATTCTTACTAAATATTAGACTTCTCATGTTGTTTAATCGAGTCCCATAATATTCATAACATTGTTATAAAATCATCTAGAAGCTAGGTAATTGTAGTACTTATCTAGAATTTTCAACTAATTAAATGTTATGGAGAAGAGTCCTATAAGCTTTTTCCCTAACGGATGATTTGTAGTTTTATCTAGAACTATCAATTAATTACATGTGATTTACATCAAGGAGAAGAATTCGCAACTACTCCGTAATAAGTTAGCACGTCTTCCTAAAGAATTGTTAAATTAATTAATTAAGGTAGATTCTAGGGTACCATTAAGGTACCATACTTTTGTCCACATGGACCAATCAAAATGATTCAATTGAATTATTTAAAACTAAATTAAAAATGATTTAATGGTGTGGACCAATAAAGTGAACATAGCCATTTTTTAGGGAGTTCAATAGGTTATCCAGAACAGGGCCCCTAGATTTATAGGGTCACAAATTTTTGAAAATTTATTAGTATTATATAGTAATATTATATATATATATATATATATATATATATATATATATATATATATATATATATATATTTTCAGGGAACACCTCACCTGTTTATTGAGTAAAAAAGAGTACAAGGAGTAGGAGGACTATACCAACGCCTACTAACAAAAAACATTACATAACGTAAGGATGACTAATTGCATCAAATTTAAGAATACCAACAAACTGGTTAAAATGATGAGTTTTGGTTTGGATAGAGATGTAACGGTAAGAAAAGAAATCAGCAGCTCTATTGACCTCCGTAGTGATGTTTTGAATGGTCCAATTGATATCTCGGAATTTCTTTTTGATAGTGCGAATGCGGGACCAATATTTCCAGTGATGAAGGGAGTGCCCAATGACACTGTCATGCACCTCTCTATTATCAGTCTCAAGAATAATATTATTGAAATTATGAGAGGCAATAGTAATAATCATATCATAAAGAGCAAGAGAAAGGTCAGAGTGCTTATCGATCTTGGTTAAATGGGTAATGTAGTTCCCAGAAGCATTGCGTACAAGGGCCATAGTACGAATGAGGTTGGGTCTAAGGTTGCGGGAGGCGAGGTTGATTTTGAGGTAATTTGCCGGAGGTTTGTGCCAATGATTAGAAGAGGGTCTTCTGCTACTATTCTTGGGCCGGATGGTAATGGTGTTAAAGGGGGAGTGCGGGGTGGTAGTAATAAACGGTTTGGCAACCGATAGTGCAAATAACTCATTTTTAATAGCGTTTATAGCCTCAGGTAAGTGCCCTTTTTTGTCATCATAAAGGAAGGTATTACGATTTTTCCAAATATGCCAAATGATGATATTTGGGAGGGCATTGGCAATATCTTTAAAGGGGCCATTATAATCGTTGTACCAGCGCTTCGTATAGTTGCCAATGCTATCATGAGGGGGGTGAAAATCAAGGATGTTTTCAAAATAGGTCCAGATTGCATGATTAAACTTGCAAACCAGAAAGAAGTGGTCTTTAGTATCCTTGTTTTGACATAAAGGGCATTTGAAGGGACCGCAAATACCCAT